TAAATTTAACAACATTTTTCTGGAAGAGTGTCAATGAGGCCCCCAGCCCAGCCCGCACTTTGACTTGGGAGTTTTCTTCTCTCCGACCCAAACATTCCGGGTGATTAAGTGCAGACGACCAGGGACATCGCTATGTCAAGATTCATGATTTCCAGGCTTCACTGTCCCTAAAAGCACTATGTGTATGTTTATGTAAAGTTTTCTGGCGGTGGGGGCGTGAAATTCAAACTGCGCCCTGGGCGGCACATTGTCTCGCTGTGCCACGGAAAGGAAAACTGAGAAAAACGTTTTGCGTTAAGAGTGTGGTGCGGGAGATAGGTGTGTGGTGCGGGAGATAAGTGTGTGGTGCGGGAGATAGGTGTGTGGTGCGGGAGATAGGTGTGTGGTGCGGCAGAATAGGTTCTCAACAGCGATGCATTGCACAGTTAATGGATTTAATCGTGATTATGAATAATGCATAGTTTTTACGAAACGCTGCTGGAACAATGGAATACATTATGAATTTTTCGTCCAATGTCAGATGTATAACGCCATCACTGAGAAACTGGACGGGTACAGGTACAGGATAACTAACAAAGATTACAACGCCGGGTGGTACTCCAAGCCGCTGCTGTTTTGTGTGGAGATTGTGCTGGAAGGATCCTTCGGGTGAGTAGACAGCTATTTCCATATATTTTAGAATCGGAAACATAAGCACACACAAAAATTTAAAAAACATTATATTCTATATACGCGATTGATTACTTTCGGTTATAACAGTATTATTATTGTACACCATCGCATTTGTTTTAAAAGTGTTTATAAATCGGATATCACACATAAAGAAATATTTGTTTGTGTGACCCAGTGAAAACGTGACCATTTTAATGATTTTTTTAATACCAAGTTCAGCAGTATGTCACGGAGAGATGACCAGCTATTTCTACCTCGGGGGAAAAAAAAAACTACCCCACTGTCTCCTTATTTTTTTAGGATAGGAAATTCAAAACCCGGTGGATAGATGTTTTATTTTAATGTTAGAATTATTTAATTTTTTTTAATTTGCATCAAGTTGGAGTCTAAGAAGAATCAGTAATGTAAATTTGTATATCTTTTCCTAAATAAATATCAAAATAATTATAATTAATAATATATTATACAAAACGATGACGGCTTTGTCGCTTTGATTGGGGAAGGAGCGAAAATAGTGGGCGCCGCAGGCTTCTGAGCAAAAGTCGTGGGAGTGGTCTGGGGAGGTGCCTTACTGAGCCATTTTCTCCCACCCAAACCCAAAACATTTTTTGGTTAATTTTAAAATTCAGGGCTGTACTTTGGCCCCAACCTGAATTTAGGGGAAATGTGGCCTCGGTGATTTGCTCTGCACAGGGCCCCCTTTGCTGTTAAGACGGCCCTGGGGGGGGGGGGATATCTTCTGAACAACATTGTATGTAGAATCGAATGCTGAAACAAGATTTGCCTTAAATATTCGGATCATAATAAATATAAAGCCCTAGCGATAATTCATTGTTTCCACTAGCTCAATGATGTTAATCAGAGAAAGGTTCAATTAGCTATTCTTGTTTTTAACGACCAACTCTATTGTTGTACATAATTTTCTAAGGGTTTGCGGTTGCGAGATTTAAAAGGGTCGGGGGGGGGGTGTCAGGGTCTAATTGGGATTCTTATAAGTGCGTTATTTGTATGCTTGTTTTTGTCCCACCCACCCACCCCCAATTGCTCGATATGACATTTTATAACGGCTATTTACCAAAAACTTTGTTTTTAAGGGTTGCTGAATTTAGAGCATATTTAGCCATTAGAATCTTGCAAGACCATGTTAATGAAATCGAAACGTTAGTAATAACGGTTGCACGGTAGTGGACTCTTCACATAATGTGTTCGCTGTTCCTCGTTTCCTCTATAAAAAGCTTCCCCTTTTTCTAAACAAATCTGAAAGGGTTCTAAAAATCCATGGCATCTCTTTTCCTTCTCAGGTTGTTTGGGCCTCCTGTCTGTGTCAAGTATTACTGCGTCTGTGACCCGTCAACATCTGGGACCTGCAAGGTAGGTCAAACATTTTGATCACTTTAACACTAGGAATTCATGTGTTTTTTTTTTTAAATGGCCACATAAATATTTTCCATAGCTTCGAGATCCTCGCACGGGACCAAAATGGGCCAATACGGGCCAATACGGCCAATACTGACTCTTCTGGGGTTTTTCATTCATCAATAAATTATAATCTAATTTTTATATTTATTTTTAAATATTTTATTATGTTATTATAACTTATACTTATAGCATGTTATTTCATTTTTTTTTTTTTTTTTTTTTTTTTTTTTTTTTTTATTTTTTTTTTTTTTTTTTTTTTTTTTTTTTTTTTTTATTTTTTTTTTTTTTTTTTTTTTTTTTTTTTTTTTTTTTTTTTTTTTTTTTTTTTGTTCTTTGAGAAATGTATCTTATCTTGTAATAGTTATTTTATCAAAAGCTTAATCACAATTGTTATGTGCAACAAACTATTTGAATTTTTCCTTAAATCCAAATGCATCGATGGATTTTGTTAGTGCACGGAGTCACCTCTGGTCCTATCTAGCTCTAAGCCAGTGGTTCTCAAGCTTCCTAACGCCGCGACCCTTTAATACAGTTCCTCATGTTGTGGCGACCCTCAATCGCAAAATTATTTTCGTTGCAACCTCTTAAGCGTCACACAATATGTGTTTTCCGATGGTCTTGGGGGGGGGGGCGACACCTGGGAAAGGGTCGTTCGACCGCCCCCAAAGGGGTCGCGACCGACAAGTTGATAACCTTCCGACTAACTGTCCGTTTGAGCACGTTCGACAAATCGATACCCACAGCGCGACTCGATTGCGCCTGTGCTTATTTTCTTCACCCTTTGTAACAATTTTAAGGTTGCTGTTTTTTGTTTATTTTATCCTACATATTTATCAACTTCGCTGTTGTTTCTGGCTGACAAAATCTCCGGACTGTTCATTGACCCACTTCCCGTCAAAATCTTGAACTTAAAAATCTTGGCTCGTAAGATCGTTGCCAATGACAACATATCACATTTTCAGCCAAACAACCCAACGTCCAAACAAGGAAATTCATTTTTTGTTTCTGTTTTTTTGAGAAGGAATACGACACCGGTTTCACGAAATACAATTCATAACGACTGCGTTAATGAGGTTATTTTTTCTTTCTTTTTTTTTTTTTTAAATACCGCAAGAGCCTTTGATGCTTAATAGGTTCTTGTGTTTTCCTGAAACAGTTGGTGACACCAATCTGCGGCGTAAAAGCGGGTGGGTCATTGTCAATATTAATATAAATTAAAATAATTTTAAAATGCATATATTGAAAACTATATGTTTTAAGGGTTTGTTTCACGCGTGTGAGTTGTCTTTTGAATCAGTAGGGGGGGGGGGAGTGGTAGATGTGTGGAATGTGATTTTTTTGGACTGATAATCTTGTCTTTCATCCGTGTGTAACATTAGGTTAAATGGTATATTTTTTTTTAAAACTCGCATACGGCTTTAACCAAATTTGACGTCCGTCATCTTTGAATCAAAGGATCCTCCATTTCGTTATCAGGTGCAAATGGGAAGATCAGAGGTGACAGTGGGCGCTAATGGTGGCGGTAGACGGTTGAAATAACAAAATGCTTATTAGAAAATCAGAAATTTTATTGTTTTATTTCATGATTTTTTTGTTTTAAATTTCTTAAAATCGAGCACACCACAATCGCCGCGGAAGTTAGCCTCGGTCGGGTACCCGGGGCAACCGGGTAGACCTTGACAGCACTCCGGGGATTATGATGGAAATTTAGCCTCGGTCGGGTACCCGGTGATTATGATATTTGACTGTGAGATATGACTGTGGACATCAAAGACAGTGAGACATAGTTTGGGTGTTTAACAGTAGGGATATGTTTGGGACAACGGTTACCGGAAATTCGATTGAAAGAAATCTCGTCGACGGTAAATTGATCGAACGGAAATTTTGTCGAATCTTTTTTTCAGTTCACGCGTTAAAATTTTCGTCAACTTTCTTTTTGAACGCACTAAACTTTATAGTAAAACAAAATAATGCGTTCAAAAAGGAATTTCAAGCAAAATTTTTAAGTAAAAACTGAAAAAAAAGTTCGCCAAATTTCAACTCGTTCAAATTACCGTCGTTGAAATTTCTTTCGATCAAATTTCCGGATACGTGGGACAACGGATTGTGGCTCTAAGTACGACAGTGGCCATGACAGTCTGCCGTAATCGTGTGAACTTTTCGTTCTACCCATTTACTTTGCTCCAATACACAGGTTATTTCCGATGGATCAGAAAACTCACCAAAATTGTGTGCACCATATTCTAATTCCACAACAGCTACCACAACAACGACAACTGCAACAACAACGCTTAGAACTACAACAACAACACCTAGTACAACTACAAAAACACCTAGCACTACAACAACAACACCGAGCACTACTACAACAACACCTATCACTACTACAACAACACCTAGCACTACTACAACACCTAGTACTACTACAACAACACCTAGCACTACTACAACACCTAGCACTACTACAACAACACCTAGCACTACTACAACACCTAGTACTACAACACCTAGCACTACTACAACAACACCTAGCACTACTACAACACCTAGTACTACTACAACAACACCTAGCACTACTACAACACCTAGCACTACTACAACAACACCCAGCACTACTACAACACCTAGCACTACTACAACAACACCTAGCACTACTACAACAACACCTAGCACTACTACAAAAACACCTAGCACTACTACAGCAACACCTAGTACTACTACAACAACACCTAGCACTACTACAACTACACCTAGCACTACTACAACAACACCTAGCACTACTACAACAACACCTAGCACTACTACAACAACACCTAGTACTACTACAACAACACCTAGAACTAATACAACACCTAGCACTACTACAACACCTAGCACTACTACAACAACACTTAGCTTTACTACAACAATACCCTGTACTACTACAGCTACACCATGTACTACCACAACTAGTCCTGCTACACCTACCTATACAATCGCACCAACATCATCTACAACTAGTCAAGTTTCATCACTCAACACCATGACACCAGCGAAGACAGATTTTACCATTCACCCGACGACCGTCAGCACGTCTCCATCTTCTGAAGGTATGTTGCCGTAGTCGCCTAAAAATTGTGTGGAGTTTGGCCTACTTCAACAGCAATGCTTGTGAAGCAAAATAGTCTCTAGCAATAAATTCAAAGCCTGATACAACGAAACAAAACAAAAATCAATACGAAATAACAATATAACAGGGAACCTTATTATATACAGTTCATTATCTTGTGAATTTTTTCGAATGTTAAACTAATTATTAAGAAGTTATAGTATATTAGTTTCATTGACAACAGTATTTTAAAATAGCGACAACTTGTTCCTAAAACAGAGGTGTGCAATATACGATCCGTGGGCCAAATGCGGCCCGCTGAAACGTTTGATGCGGCCCACCAAAAAAAATAATAATAATAATTATAATTCCATGCGCCCATTTGAAAAAAAAAGATGCTTCCTACCGCTTTCCAAAATGATTTAGCTACTAAGTAGGGATGCAAGGAAAACTATTTGCACAGTTATGCCAATTAAAATCCTGGCACTTTGCATTATACTGATAACCCATTAAGAAACACTCCCAAACAAGTCTAATGGCTACGCAAATATTTTTGTTAATTTTGTTTTCAGGCACAGAAAATCCTATCTTAGAACTTCAAACAAACTTCTGCTACATTGGCGGAAGTTGTTCAACTTTAAACAACATCCGGCACCTACTTATTTGTGGCGATTTCTGTCTGGACGACAGCGCTTGTCTGGGAATCAACTTCCGGGTCATGAACGGAACTTGTGACCTCATATATGACAACACAGACATGGTCCCAAATACTTTGTCTCTGTACGAACAGGACTGTGAGTACTGGAAACTTGTCAACATGAGGGGATGAGCTCTGTGGAGAAAGTAGATTCAAAGTAGAAAAGATTTTACAATCAGGCTGCAGATATTTTTTAGACGAACATCTTCAGCATAACTTATAGTAGTACTAAAATATGCTTTAGCACAAAATCTGAATATACTCTTTTGGATGATAGGCCAGCCACGATAGCCCATAATCTATCATCTGTATGTTTGCCCGGACAACATAGCCCATAATCTATCAGATACATGATAGAAAAAAAATCGTACGTTCTGTCATCTGGCTCAATCAACATAGCCTATATTCTGTCAGGTGGCTTAGTCACAATAACCTGTATACCTTTTAGAGGTATGTTTTTATAGCTCAGTAAACATAACCTACATCCTATTAAGACGTATGTCAGCTCAGTCAACATAGCCTATGTTGTGTTTCGAATTGCAGCGACCAAAATACGTCAGACAACATTTGCGTTCGAGAGTAACGCCTTGGAACAGTCAATTCGGCAAAGTGATCCCTTTTTAAAAATATACACTGCCAGCGTTCGTGTTAAAGGACATGTGCCTTGCGTAATAAAAATCAATACGATCTTCTTTACAGCCAAGCAATATTTGATGTTTCATCATTGATTTCGAATTTAAAGTGGTAGGAACGTAACAAATCGGTGAACACAAAAGGGTCCGATATTTAGTTGGAAGTTCAGTGTTTGATCATTGATCATCAGGAGATCAATATTTGACCTATGGCGTCGGTTTCATGAAAGACAAAAAGACGTGTGGCTTCAGAAGGTTGCCATCAGCGGTAACAATTCATCGGGTCTCGTGCGATAAACTCTGAAAGTATTTTGTTTCGATACAGGTGTTCCCAGGCTACCCCCGTCTCCAGCCGGTGCAAAGATACATTTGCCCTGGTAGCCAACGTTCCCTTTAAGCTGCGATTTTGATTTTGCACACGAACCAAGAAACCTTAAAGGGAACATTGCTCGTAACTAACCTAAAGGGCCTTACTGTTGGTTAATTTGTATATGTCGTACTCTTTAGTTCAACGTTTGTCTTGAAACATGTCAACGCCAGCAACGATTTTCACGTCCAAGTTTTGGGTCCAGTGTGAGCACAACCAGAGCTCTCGCGTGGCGTGCAGTCTGGCTGCGGGAATGTAAGAGGCTAAACGTTTGGATGTGGTGAGGTTGGGAGAACCAAAGCGGGAGGGTGGAGGTGGCACAAGCCCAAGAGGTGAAAAAGAACCTCCAAAAGTCACTGGACCGTTCTGTGAAACTTTATTATTTAATGGGTAAGAAATCAACAAAAAATTTTCATTTACTGGCTATTGGCTATTGGCTATTGGCTTACCCATTAATCATTTGGAGGAAAATCATTATTTTTTTTTTAAATATTTGTAACCAAATAAAATTGGTGAAATGTTTCGAGACACAAAAAAATATGTCTGTATCTTTTTTGTGTGTCTTTGTTGTATCTCTGTTGCATCTCTGTTTTGTTTTTGTTGTATCTGTGTTATTTCTTTGTCGTATCCTTGTTGGGTATCTGTTGTATCTTTTGTGATCTTGATGTATCTTTTTGTGTGTCTTTGATGTGCCTTTATTTTGTGTCTACCAATGATTATCTGACGCGTCAAAAGAACAACTCAAAATATTACAAATAGACTAGTGCCTCATATGAAAGCCTGGCATCTTACGCCTCTGTAAGATTGTATGCTTTCCACATTCTATACGCCTCTTTCCATTTGTATCAAAACTACATTGTAATACGCCTCTGTAATTGTGTATAGTTGCTACATTCTAAAGGCTCCCGTCTTATTGCATGTTTTTGACAACGTATACGCCTCTGTAATAGTGTATGTTTGCTAAGACGCAAATTGTCCATGTCTCTCTAATACGCCTCTGTGATAATGTAGATTTGCTACATCCCATGTAGGCCTCTGTCATGGTGTATGTTTTCTTCATCGTATACGCCTCTGTCATAGTGTATGCTTGCTACATCTGAAATTGCCCACGTCTCTCTGTCGGATTACACGCGTGGCACTGAGCTTTCAACGCTAAACAAGGATCAAAAATGATACGTGCAAATCGTTATTACCAGGTACAATACTTCTGATCTGGCCATTGAAAGCTCTGGCACCAAGCAAATCCACCAATCAGATTTCCTCAAATTGATTCACGTCGGCAAACAAACCCCCATGGTGTTGACTGAACATGCAGGTTGCCAACTTGGGTGCAAAGATAATGTCCATTAGTCAAGTGTTCCCAAACGGTGCAGCTCGGAGCACCTGTCTGCCACGGCAGATTTCCAGCAAGCGGCGCGGAGAAGAAAGATATAAGATTTAAAAAGAAAGTCAAAACGAAAAGTGAAATCCCTACATGAGAAATGGTATAGTATTGTATAGGTCAGAGGTCAGAGGTCAGCCAACTTTTGGTATTAGTGTGCCAAAGTGAGCCTTCTAATGCATTCAGCGTGTCGAAGTAAGACTCATAATTCAGAGTGCCCAAGTATCAGATCCAATTCATTCAGCATGCCAAAGTAAGACTTCTAATTCATTTAGCGTGTCAAAGTAAGACTGACTTCTAATTGATTCAGTGCGCCAATAACTGACAAGTCTGTCATTGTTAGTCTTTTATAATAATTTTATGGTCTTTCGCGTACCAATGAAAATCGCCATGCGTGCCAAGTCTGGCATGCGTGTCGAAGGCTGCTGACCCCCCTGGCATTGCTCACTGCAGGATGGCATTGGACAGTAGAATTGTTACAGTATATTAATAATAGCCAGGGATTTTCACCGGAGCGCTGGAACAGGAGCTGTAGCTGGTTAAAAAAAATGTGCTGCTCCGAGCTCCGAAATGTATATTAAAAAAATAATCTATAAAAAAATTATATAATTAATTTTTTTTTTTTAATTTAAAAAAATTACTTTATTAAAATTGAAGACCTACTCTTCTACCAGCTATATGCCCATTCTCTTCTACCAGCTATAAGCCCATTCTCTTCTACAGCTAAGTTGCCCCACCCTTCTACCAGCTCTATTGCCCCACTTTTTTTTAAAGCTATGTCGCCTCAACTCTTCTACCGGCTTTGTGGCCCCATCATTTTACTATTGACACTGTACATGTTTGTCTATTGCTTAAGTGATAAGATGGGTTATCGACAATAATAAACTCATTTCTATTAAATTCTCAGCGCCACCTTAAACAACCCTCTTACCTTTTAATATTTTATTGCGCCGGAAAATTTTTAAAAAAGTCCTGCTCCACATGCCTGGTTATAGCACACTCAATAGTTGGACTGACTGCACGAGAATCGGTACAGTATTGTACAACGTACTTCATGGTTGGAGTAAAACAGGAGCATCGCTACAGTATTGTACAACGTACTTCATGGTTGGAGTAAAACAGGAGCATCGCTACAGTACTGTACAACGTACTTCATGGTTGGAGTAAAACAGGAGCATCGCTACAGTATTGTACAACGTACGTCATGGTTGGAGTAGCTACAGTATGTGATATCCTAGTCAATGTATAAATTAAAGTCACGAGAAATGATGTCATATGTGACAGCACTGAATTACCCATGCAAAATAACGAAATATATCTCTATATATTGTTGCTGCAATATATTGTTTTTATCGGTTATATTTTTGTTTAGAAATATCGCTGCTGAAAATGTTCATGCGCAGAACAAATAGAGGCTAGAATGGACGGTAAGGGGGAAGAACTGGTTTGACCTTTTCTAGTAATGCTACGGTCCCTAAGTAAAATTAAAGCAGACCAAAAAAAACAGGCCGAGTGTTTGATCTGAAGCGGCCTCAGGAAGGGAGACGAATCGACAGCGAACCGATTGTTGAGCTGGACAATAGTGATCTGCCTTCCTTTGTAAAAGTTTTTGTAGGACATGGGCGTGATGACGCATCTAGGGGCTTCTGTTGGTATCAATCAGGAAGGAATAAAAAGACAGAAAAAGAAAAAGAGAAAGAGCGTAGCAACAAAAGAAAAAAAAACATCAAGAAAGAAAGAAAGAAAGAAAGAAAGGAAGAAAGAAAGAAAGAAAGAAAGAAAGAAAGAAAGAAAGAAAGAAAGAAAGAAAGAAAGAAAGAAAGAAAGAAAGAAAGAAAGAAAGAAAGAAAGAAAG